GCATGAAAATCATTAATAAGCATTTCTATTTTTTGGAATTGTGATTTTAAACATGTGATACCCGTAGCATGGAGTTTACTATAGCACTTATATATATATATATATATATATATATATAACTAGTGAATCTATCCGCGCTTCGCGTGGGGTAAAATATATATATTTAAATTTAGTATACCCTATTTTTTATGAAAATAAAATAACCTTTAAACAATATATATTTGAGTGAATTAGTAAATGTGATTTATTTAGAAGATATAGTGTATGAGGATTTTTATTACGTTTATACCTCTAGTTCCTTTCTTAATTATGCTATAGAATCTATATCCATATGAACCATAAATATGTGAATGAACTTACATCTTTTCACCTGCATAAGCATTTTTCTTACAATTTTAAAAAATATAAATATAAATGGGCTCTACAATACTTGAATTCAGATTATTCGAACTTCAATATAAGTATCAAACATAAAAACTCATAAATTACAAAATGAAAAACAAAAAAATGATAATAACGAAGACAAAATTACCAATAAAATAAACTAAAAATATCACTTTTATTTTGCCTATAAAAGGTACTACATCACTCTTCCATAAACAAATTTTATACAAATTATGAACATCAATGAATTTACTAAATAACATTCGTATGGTAACAAAATGAATGTATTCATCAATATATCCAAGAATTACAAATATAAATATTTAATTTATAATTTCTTGTTATATAAATACTACACATAGTATTAATTAATTTGTGAAGTATCATGTCTTCAAATTCTAGTCTTTAAATCTTTATTAATATTTTTTTACATGTATTCAATCATACCTTTTATTTATTTTGTTATATAATGCTATATATAAAGTATGTTTTCTTTTGTATGGATTTTATATAATCTGAAATAAATTAAAAAAGGAAATAGAATAAAAAGAAATTAATACAATCAATTTTTCAAATTTTCGGTAGTCCTTTTTTTTCTTTCCTTTATGCCTTTCTTTTTCATTTTTGTTTCTTTTTTCTTTTTCTTAACACATTAATTTGTGCTTTCCTTAATTACAAATTGAATCTCCAAATTTTACTCTAAAAACTGAAGCCATTTTTTTTTCTTTTTCTCCTTATAATGAATTAAAATTAAATTACCATCTCTCTTTTTGTTTGTCTTTTTAAATAATATCTCCTACTATTTAAATAATTTATTATTGTTCTCTATAAATTTAGGGAGAATATATATATAGAATATATTAAGACTGATATATGGAACAACATATTAATTTCGGAAAACCATATATGGAACATATATAGAGTTATATATGGAACAAATAAATAAATTATTCTTTGTACATTAAACTTTAATTTTGGCAATATTATATATATGGAGCCTTTTTTCTTCTTATTTTATTTGATATCTCTATTTTTCTTATCACTCTATGTTTCTTTTCATTTTTCTTTCTCTCCTTCAGCACTCTATATTATTTTCTTTTTGTATCTTTCTAATTTTATGTAAAAGTCCTCAATATCAATACTTTCTTAAAATAGTATCACTTTTTTGTTATTCAAATTCAAAGTATTTCAGTGAAAAAAGGAAGAGAACAAAAGAAGAAAAATCAGCCTTCATACAAGAGTTGGGTTGAAAATTTTACCTATCAAATTAACCGTTCGTAGATTTAGGCTAAAACTTCTTCAAAAGTATCAATTCCTGTTTCTTTTCTTCTTCTTGCTTCACTCTCGGATGTTCGTCAAATTTTGAACGCTTAGCAGCAACCTGATGATTGTTTTTGTTAAATCACATGAATGGTATCTTGAAAGGGAATCAACGAAGAGTTGTTCATCTAATATGATGTGTTGTTGATTCCAACATTTCTACAAAAAACACAAGACATTAGTAATGTTCATGGTTTGAGATTACAAAATAATCTTGAATTGTGATGGCCTTCTTCCTTAGACTCATTCTTTCTTGTCTATCTATTCTGCAAATTTATATTACATAAATTTCATGTTGATTCATGAAAAAATTGAGATTGTGAATGTATATTGTATTATGTTTATATAGTTGTTTTCAAATTTTAATGGTGTAGAAATCTTTCAAATTCTACAATTAAATAATATAGAATTATGTTGTAACGGAAAGAAATTATTGAAATAAAAATAAAGAGTCTTTTATTATAAATGATAAGGATTAATCTTAACATTGATTTTTTTTTAAGGTTTTAAATCAATTAAAACGATTTTTCCATTTGCTCACACTATTGTTTTTTCATTATTGTCTTTTTAATGATGAATTAAGAGTGGTCATAATCTTGAAATGTGCTGGCCTTCTTCTTTAGACTCATTCTTTCTTGTCTATCTATTTCTGCAAATTTATATTACATAAATTTCATATTGATTCATGAAAAAATTGAGATTGTGAATGTATATTGTATTCTGTTTATATAGTTATTTTCAAATTTTAATAGTGTACAAATCTTTCAAATTCTACAATTAAGTAATACAGAATTATGTTGTAACTGAAAGAAATTATTAAAATGAAAATAAAGAGTCTTTTATTATAAATGATAAGGATTAATCTTAACATTGATTTTTTTTAAAGGTTTTAAATCAATTAAAACGGTTTTGCCATTTGCTCACACTAATGTTCTTTCATTATTGTCTTTTTAATGATGAATTAAGAGTGGTCATAAAAATCAATTGTGGTTACTATGAAGGCTTGATTATATATTTATTGCATTAGTCTTAAATAAATTATGTATAAAAATGAAATTAAAATGTTAAAAAAAGAGGAGAAAATAGATAAATAGAAATGATGGCCATTGAGAGGTGCCACATCAGCCTGGTCTAGATTCAGCTTTATATATATATATATATATAAATTGACATAATATATAAGCGTGTTCTTTAACTTGGTTTATTTGTCATTTATGTCTTTCAACTTTGAAGGTGCACAAATAAAAACTCAAACTTGTATAAAGTTTTAGAAAAACACGTCCTACGTGACAATTCTCGTAAAATACCCTCAAACTGATTTGTAGGGCACATATGTCTATTTGTTCAATTTTATACAAATTTAAATATCTACTTGTGCACATCCAAAATTAGAGAACATAAATGTCAGTTAAATCCAAGTTAATGACTAAACTTATCTATTTGTATGTGTTTTTAATTTAAGCCTCCACGGAGGTTTGACATTGTAAATTAAAAGTTGAGACTCTTTTCGGAATATCAAAGCTCATATAATCTTTACAGAGTTTATAGAAAAAACCTAGAAGGGAGATGAATCCAAAACATAATATTGTCCTCATCTAAGCTATGAGAAGCCCAACTTCTTCTATAGTTATTGGCAATCCATTTGTATGACCAAGTACAAAAATATTGCAAAGTAGCTATGAAGAATATTTGTCATAATTGTTATAATTGAGAATCTGCCCTTTGTAATTTAAAATTAACACTTGATATCCAGTACCCTTATATTATAAAAATCCCAAACAAATACTACTCCATGACCATTAGTTAACAGTTAGAAGAGAAATTCCTTGTACAGACCTAGGCATTATTGGAAGCCTTGACAAGTCGACTCTTGTGCACGCAGAGAGTTCAAGTCACTGCTATTTGCAAGGCTATTGAACTCCACACATTTGGATGGCATTGTTGGGTAGCGTCGTTGGCAGAATGTCACCAGTCTTTTAACTGAATACAGAAGCTTCCTTGTTGTCTCATCATTCATGACGTGAGCAACACTATTTGTATGAATCTTCTCACGCGCTGATCGTTCATGAATACCAACCATAGTAACACCAATAGGCCAAGGTGCATTACCAATTGCTATCTTATTAAGATATTGATCCATTGCAGCACTATATTCTCTATTCATACAACATTCAACCATCACAACTAATGCTTTCCTAATGTCAATATTAAGTAACTTTTTCCTGCATAAATCAAATAACGGATTCAAATCCCTAGCACACTGCATAAAAGTAGCCACCACTGTCTGCTTTTTAGACTCAGAACTCATCTCATCAAGCTCTTGATTCCACTCATTCAACAGCTTTTTGTAAAACACCAAAATCTTATCCTCATCACACAAATTCTCAAAATTAGTTTTCATCCTCTTCAAATCTTCATCTTTATCCTGGTCTGTGGCTTTCCGCTTCAACATCCGTGACTTCTTCAATTCCAACATATCTCGCAAAAAGTCATTCGTTTGCCCTTCCGTCATATCACTTTTATCAACTTCAAACAATCCAGCTTTCAACACAAGACTCAACCTAGCAAACCTTGCCTCTTCATCTTCTCCGAATAAAGTCACAGGGTGTTTCAAAACCCTAAGGCGGCGAACAACTTCTTGTCGCGGAAGGGAGACTGATGAAGAAGATTCCGATTTGATATTGTCAGTTGACAAGTAAGATTTATGATTATTATGTTGCTGGGTTTCCGCTTTTTCTTCTTCACGTTTCTTACTCTGTTCTATGTGTAATTTATTGAAAAATTTCCGTCCACCCACATATTGGGCTCGATTGTTCCGTAGCTTCTCTGTTATTTGTTTCACTTCCTCCATGGTTTTGATTTTGATTTTGATTTTGATTTGTGAATTTGCTTTGCTAACTTTTAATTTATTTAAAGAAGAAACAAAGTCAAATCCGACTAGGAATAGAATTGGAAAGAAATAATAGGACTTGAGTAAAAAACCATGTAATAGATTCCTAAAATAATGAAAAATATATGGGAAAACTATTAGAAAAAGATTCCTAAAATAATGAAAAAGACTATTAGAAAAAAGATTCCTAAAATTACTATAATCTTAAGCTAACTATAAAGAGAAAAGACATTGCCAAAACTCTTTAGGAAATAAACTAAGAACAGGAATCCTAAATAGTTAGGATTTGTTTGTCCTAATAATTCCTATAGTAATAGATTTTCTAGTTTAATTTTGTTTATTAGTATTGTAAATAGGGGTGACTTATTACATATTTTCATACACTGAGATACAAGAGTGATTGTGTTGAGCGCAGCGTTCATTCTTCTATTGCTTAATACGGAAATTGATCTGAGAACATGAGTGACGAAAAAAGAGTTCACCCAGATTGTGGGAATGGTTCGAACCCTTATCATGAATGCAGCGAATATTGCTTCAATATAATAGCGGAAGTAAAGAAGCAAATGAGCAAAGCTGAAACAGGTGTATTGCAAGCTAATACTGTTGATGTTCATCGCTCCGATGTACCTGATGAAAGAGATGGTGTTGAAAGTCACAGCGATGATGGAGAGGATAACATGGGAGAAAAATCGGCGAATCTGATCACAAGGAGGAAGAGGAAGTTATTTGAATTGAGGTTAAAAATGAATGGGGCAAGAAAAGCTAATCAATCTGCAATGGTAGTAGAGAAGAAGAAAACAGAAGTTCTAGCTACAGAGTCTAGAGGAATGTCCAAGTATGGAAAGGCGCCAAAATCATCAGACGACAAGATAGAGAGGATGGTGAAGGAGCTCAAGGACAAGAAGCGCCAATCATTTAGTCGGAGGAGAAGGTTTCATGAAGAGAAAGATATTGACTCTATTAATGATCGTAACGAGCACTTCAATAAAAAGATTGAGCGTGCCTTTGGAAAATACACCTTGGAGATCAAGAATAGCCTTGAGAGAGGAACTGCTTTGCCTGATTGAGGTATTATGTCATGTCAACCTAGAGCAGTCTTGTGATAACCTTTCGAGTAAATTTGTATTTTCTGGTTCTCTGGTTTGAACACACATTACTAACAAGTTCAAGAAAATCCCCTATGAATAACTTAATATGGTAATTTTATTTTCTTTCATAGTAGCCACTATTTTGCTAATTCTTTGAACTCGCATATGACTTTCTATATGCAATTCATTCATTGACAAGTAAAGCAAAAAGAAACAAAACAAGTTCAAGAAAATCCCCTATGTTGTAATGTTAACATCCCCATGTACACTTATTGATGGGTGATTTAGGCAACCATATGCCAAAGTTTTTGCCAGGTTCCTCCTTTTTTTTTACTTACAACAATGTCATAATTTTGGGTATAACATGTTTCTAATCCTAGTCTTTATATAATAAAGGAACCTTTAAAAAAAAAAATTGAAGGTGCACATTTCCATGACCTTGCCTTGAGGGTATGGATTCTGATGCACTTTTTATCATGCAAGTGAAGTTAAAATAGAAGTAAACAATAAGAAGAATTGATGAAACTAATGACTGTTAAAGGTGATTCTTATAAACTAAGATGTAGAAGCAACAGAAACACTCTTTGGACAGATCAAACTCCATACAGCCTAAAAGCAAATGTAGAACATTTTGTAAAGAATTTGGCAAGAAGCTGAACAAAGAAAATGTCAATTAGTTTGCCAAACCGAAGAAATAGAACATATCAAAAGTGATGATAAAACAGGGATTTCAAGTCCTCGGTTGTTAGTTTTCCTAAGGCCTCTGAAGAACCACCAACTGTCCTGCAATCATAGGAAAAACAAACAGTTAGGGGAAAATGGGTTTTTAGAGAAAGAGCGGAGGAAGGGATGTAATAAAAAGATTGACACTAAGGGTGTGTTTGGTATGAAGGAAAATGTTTTCTTGGAAAACAAGTTGATTTTTGACTTATTTTCTCATGTTTGGTTGGTGAGTAGAAAATATTTTCCGAAAAAGATTTTTAGTGTTTGATTTATGAATGAATAATGTTTTTGAAAAATTTCTTTTATTTTTACTAGAGTAGAAAATAATTGTTGAAATTGAAAATATTTTTTAAAAACAAACTTAATTTTTTTTTGGGGGTGGGGGGGTCGAGGGTAGGGGTGAAAAATAGAAATTTTGAAGTTAAAAATATTTTTAAAAAACAAACTTAAAATTTGTTTTGGGGGGTGGGCGGCTGGTAGGGGGTGGGTGGGGGGTGGTAGGGCGTGGGTGGGGGGGTCGAGGGTAGGGGTGAAAAATTGAAATTTTAAAGTTAAAAATACTTTTTAAAAACAAACTTAAATTTTTTTTTTGGGGGGTGGGGGGGCTGGTAGGGGTTGGGTGGGTGGGTGGGGGGTCGAGGGTAGAGGTGAAAAAATGAAATTTTGAAGTCGAAAACATTTTTTAAAAACAAACTTAAAAATTTTTTTGGGGGTGGGGGGGGGGGGCTGGTAGGGGTGGGTGGGTGGGTGGGTGGTGGGGGGGTCGAGGGTAGTGGTGGAAAAAATGAAATTTTGAAGTCGAAATTTTTTTAAAAAAACAAACTTGAAATTTTTTTTTGGGGGGTGGGGGGGCTGGTAGGGCGGGGGGGTCGAGGGTAGGGGTGAAAAAATGAAATTTTGAAGTCGAAAATATTTTTTAAAAACAAACTTAAAATTTTTTTTGGGGAGTGGGGGAGCTGGTAGGGGGTGGGTGGGGGCTGGGTAGGGGGGTCGAGGGTAAGGGTGAAAAAATGAAATAATATTTTTTAAAAACAAACTTAAATTTTTTTCTTTTTGAAGGGGGTGGGATAGGGGGCTGGGTGTAACACCCCAGAGAATTTTCGAACTAAGACTCGAGCCATCCTTCATGTGGAGTGGGATTTTACCGAGGAATAAAAAATTTCTTGAGTGTTAAGTTAAGGTCCCTAGGTGTAGCACATTGAGTTCCAAGAAGAGTTGAATTGGAAATAGTCATTTTGGAAAGAATCTGGAAAATTTGGCTATGGAAAAAAAGTGAGTTTTTGGTCAACTTTGAGCAGTCGTATCTCCTAGCTCAAAATGATTTAGGCGAATTTCCAGTTATGTCTGGAAAGCCCTTGGAATGATCTTTCCAACGCCGCCGAGTTTGCTTGATTCCGAGTTCGTATGAGTGACTTATGCCCTTTGGAAGTTGGGTTGTTGGCACAGTCGCACAGTCGCACAGTGCAGTTTGTTTAGTCCGAAAATTTTAAGGGTATTTTGGTCTTTTCCCTAATCTTTTCTTTGGGTTATATTGAGGTGTTAGACTGATGTTTGGATCATTTTTGTCCCATTTTAAAGAGTGAGAGTAAGAGTGAGAGTTAGGGCTTGGAAGATAAGAGAGAAAGAAGAGGAAAAGAAGAGGAGAAAGAGAAGAAGAAGCTAAGGATCGTCGTGGATTTTTGTCGGGGGTGATCCCTAATCAGGTATGTGAGTCTTTAGTGTGGGTTTATCCTTTCCCCCCACATACCAAGCTCGTTTTTATGATTTGAGAAGAGATTGGATTTGTTGTTGAAGTTGTTGAAGTTGTTAGTTGTTGTTGATGTTGTTAGTTGTGTTGTTGAAGTTATTGTTGGTTGTGGGACAGGATTGGGCTGTGTATTTGAGTTGTGACCTATTGTATATTGAGGGATTTTATGATCCTTAGTGTTGGTTGGTTCATACCCCCACACACCAACTCGTTTTTAATTCCAAGAGAAGATTTATTGGTTGTTGAAGTTGTAGTGGTGTTGTGTTGAAGTTCTTGCTGATTTAGTACAGATTTCTGGCTGTGATTTTTGAGTTGAATCTATTGTATAATAAGGGTCTTTATGATTCTAAGTGTTGCTGGTGAAACCTTGAGGTTGAGAGGGTTTAGAATTGGAAAGAAATAAGGGGAAAAAGTCGGATTTTTGGGGAAAAAGGGGCTGGGCTGTTGCACCTCTCCTAGTGCCAAGGACACCAATCCTTCCCTTTCATTCACCATTTCTTTTTTTATACATGTTCCTAGGTATTATACCTATGTTTCCTAGTTGTTTCCAACACTCCAAGGTACTTCCAAAAGTCAAGTAAAACTACAAGTCAAGTGAAGTCAAGCTTAGAAGTAAGTAAGTCAAAACAAGTCTTTAAGGTTTTCCAAGAGTCTTCATTGATCGTTTTAACTTCATTTTAAGGCTCAAGTTAAGTAAAGAATGAAGAGTTCCAAGTTAAGAGTTTCAAGTTGAGTAAAGAGTTTCAAGTTGAGTCAAGTGAAGTTAGTTTCAAAGTCAAGTGAAGTTAGTTTCAAAGTCAAGTGAAGTTAGTTTCCAAGTCAAGTGAAGTTAGTTTCAAAGTCAAGTGAAGTTAGTTTCCAAATCAAGTGAAGTTAGTTTCCAAGTCAAGTGAAGTTAGTTTCAAAGTCAAATGAAGTTAGTTTCCAAGTCAAGTGAAGTTAGTTTCAAAGTCAAGTGAAGTTAGTTTCCAAGTCAAGTGAAGTCAAGCTTAGAAGTAAGTAAGTCAAAACAAGTCTTTAAGGTTTTCCAAGAGTCTTCATTGATCGTTTTAACTTCATTTTAAGGCTCAAGTTAAGTAAAGAATGAAGAGTTCCAAGTTGAGTAAAGAGTTTCAAGTTGAGTCAAAGTATCGAGTTTCAAGTAAAGTAAAGAGTAAAGAGTTGAGTTCATTTCTCAAAGTTATTAGGGAACTATGTATTCCCAAAGAAGTTTTAAAGAAATGTTTTTACATTTAAACAAGGTTGGAAACTGAGATTTCCAAAAGAGCCTTCGGGCTAGTTTTTGAGTAATTATCTCATATCAGCAGGAATAAATATGTTTTAAAAACATAAGAGCCAGTACATTTTTGGGAGTAGTATCGAGCACCGAATTGGGGGAGCGTTCAAAGAACCCACAGCCCCCATAGAACCATGTTAGCCACCATGGGTAGAAAAGGATCATACTTTTTAGATGAATCCTTTTCAGATTAGACTAGTGGATCCATTAGGCAGTTCAGGTCTTATACCTTTGGCCGGGTATAAGATGCTCTGGCAGCGTGAGGTCGATCGCTGTATCATCACTATAGCTCTTATGTGATGGTTGTCGGTTAGAGAAACTCCCACAACAGTTATTGTATTTTTATACACAGAAATTATTGTATTTTATATACATCAGTTCATTTGTATTTCTATATACATCTCAGGCTTATTGTATCCTTGTATACACACAGAGTTTATAGCATGTTTTAAACAGTCTTTCTTTATATCGCACTTGTTTTAAATTACCTTATATTGAAAGAAGTCAGTCAGGTTGAGTTCAGTTATTCAAGAGTCGAGTATCCTTGAGTTAAGTATCTTTGAGTTAAGTATATATCTTGAGTTGAGTATATATCTTTGAGTTGAGTATCTGTGTCTTTGAGTCCAGTATCTATCTTTTGAGTTGAGTAAGTTTGAGTAGTTTTGAGTATTCCTTGAGTTGAGAAAGTTTGAAAAAGAGGTAAGTTATTCAGTTTATTCCAGTGTTTCTTCTAGCCTATGTTGTTTAGATTTCCAGCTTACATACTCGTACATTCCACGTACTGAGCCATTTGGCCTGCATCTTTTTATGATGCAGACACAGGTATTCAAGATCATCAACAGGAGATTCGTTGATACATCCGGGAGTTCCAGTTAGCTATGACAAGCCTCTTTGCTTCCGGAGGATTTCATTTACCTTTCAGTTGTATCAGTTGTTAGGAGGTCGTGGGTCTTGTCCCGGCTTCCATCTTTATCAGTTAGAGGCTTCATAGATAGACAATAGAGTTTCAAAAGTCTCTTCATTTATTTTGTTAAATGTTTTGAAGACTAAAGTTTCCTTTTATGGCGAGTTGTATATATATTCTATTATCAGAGTTTTCTTTTGAGTTAAAGATTTGTAAAGTTGAGTTTATAAACTTTTTTTTCAGTTTTAAGCTCTTGTATGCTTAAGTTAGTATTCCGCTTGGAGTCAGCCAGGATGAGGGTTCGCTTAGGGACCAGAAATGGTCTTCGAG